TGCTTCTAGGCTAGGTTAAATCTTCTGTCAAAAAATTGAAGATACGATGACCTCTTACCTAAATTGACAATTATATTATCCTGCGATTTTTTAAAATCAGATGTCCATAAGATGTCGCTGCAAGGAAGAGCTATCTTGAAATCGTCGAGGGTCATTGATGAAGGGGCATCTTTGAATATCCAATAGCAGCATTCGAGCACTGCATCGTTAAGATAAGTTATGTGATGTCGAGGTATACCAAGAAGTGTCCTCACCATATACACAGTAAACGATCCTTCTCTGTGATTCTAAACCTACCCAGCGACGCCACTTTTCATATGGGTCCAAATCATCTGGAGAAGGTATACTTTCAGCAACGTTGGCAGAAACTGATTTAGCCACTGAAGTGAGCATGTTCCTCTGGTACTGAGACGTAAGAATCTCATCTTCGTAACCGCTGAATAGAAGAGCTGTATTGAGTAAAAGAAGACACTGCGCAAGTGTCATCTGGTCAAGGGTAATAGTTTCCGTGGCCTATGGAGTCAGTCAAACTGGAACAGGTATTAACTTTACAGCAACTCACATTTTTCGGAAGCGCCTTCTGTAGAAGGTCCTGTATACCCAGGACATAAAGCTCCGAGCGCTCCACATTGGAGTATTGGCACCCGACAGATGCCACCGCTAATATAAGGACCAATGAGGAATTTTCTGTGTCGAAAGATGACGGATGGATGAAAGACATCCAAGGGTCATGGTGCTCGAAATAGAGCTGGACCATCGCGTTCAAGAAGGAAAGGCTGATGAAAGGTGATGCACACGAGGAACATTGCTGGCTCTTCCAGAATTCACACATCTGTTGATATTGCTTTTCCGGTATCAGCTTAACATGCCCATAATTCTCAGCTGCAATCACGTCTTCATCTGGCTGAGTTTCTGGGAACCGAGTGCAGCAGAAACGATGGGCATGAGACTCTTCTGGCATGGAGAAATCACTTTGCGACGAAGGAAGCTCATCGCTGTCTTCCCGGGTGGAGAGTGAAGTGTCTGATCCTCCTGACGCTAGACTTATGCTCATGTCCACTGTCATGGCGTCGCCTAATCCTTGGCTCGGTAGTGATAACACATGTGGATGGATAGCGTTCTCACTAGGGTGACCGGCAAGGTACATGCTGAAATCTTCTCGATGTTGCTCACTAGATCTCGTAGTAGCTGCTAAGTCTTCGAATGAAACGTGGTCGGCTCGTACATGGTGATCGTCGAAGGTGGCATGATCGCCACTGCCACTCGAAATAAGTGTAGGATTGCCATCCAGGAGGAGCGTAGAATGAACAAACTCCGGTGTCTCTAATAGTGGAGGATCCTCCAGTGCAGGGATTGGCTTTGGAAATGCACATTGTATGTTTCGCTTGACACATCGACGACATGGCGACTTTCCATTGCAGCGTTGCTTTGCCTTGGCACAATTCAGGCATGCTTTCTGGGACCGCCGACGGTTGCGGGTGCAAGGTGGTTCCTCACCATCACTTTCTCTCGAATGAGTGGCTTGGTGCTTCCTCAAAGTATCCCTGCAACAATTAATATTCTCAATGATATACTAGTTAGATTAGCTATAGGATGAGGATACAAACCTTCTAGAAAACATGCGAGAACACACGTCGCATCGAAACGGCTTCAATCCGAGATGGCTGAATTCATGTCGTCGGAGATGCTCTTTTCGGGCAAAACTCTCTGGACAGAATTCACACGCCCATCTTCCCAACGTGTCCGGCCCATCTGCTGTTGGGGCTTCCATACTCAGGTACAGATTGCTGGGTTGGTGAAGTAGAAGGACCAGTTGCAGACTCGGGGACCACGAGCCGTAGACGCAACCCCCCACATCCCGCCACCCCACATGCTCTTATTTATCGCTTGCAACCGAGGTAAACAGCAACAATCAATATACGGCCTTCTTCGATTATACATATCGATCATTAGTTAATGAAACTCTCTTTAAATAAAATTGCGAGCCAGAAATTATTTGACTACCTGGAGTTGTATAGCTTTGTTGACAAATCTAGTGCCTAATTGCAACTACAGTAGTGGATGCTTCAACGCCAGCTTCCCAAACCTTCCTCCATCTGCTATCGCCTTCAACTCTTCCATCGCCTCTTCTGCCGTCCCTTCAAATACATCAACAGAAAGCAGTCGAAAATTAACACCATAATTCTCCACAGTCCAGATCAGCGCACGCCACGCACGTTGATAATCTGCCGGTCTTGCAGGGATCGTGATCGGAAATGGCACATTCTGGACCTTAATAACCACATCCCTGTTCGGCGTGGCAATGGGCATCTTGAATTTGGAGTCACTTTGAACAACAACAGATACAAGCGTCGCATCTTCCGAACAACACTCAGCCACTAGCTGTGCGGAGCTGACACCGCCCCTTTGGCTCCCAACTGCATCAAATCCGTATGTTAATGGACCCCACTGATGATCTCTCACGGTCGCTTTAATATCTAAAATAACACTGGAAGACTTGTAGTCAAAGCAGCGAGTGGCTCCGAGCTCCTGTAGTAGGGAATGTCTCTCTGGGGAAGCAGTGACGATAATCGGATGAATACCACTCGCACGAGCGAGCTGGAGAGCACAAAGACCAACGCTCGATGAGGCGCCCCAAATCAACAAGGGCTTCGCAGTTTTCGCTTGATTGTCATGCTCATGCGGCAGAGGGAGGTTAAAGATATTATATAGGGCATCCGCAGCAGTCATGGCCACCACTGTCAAACTCCCAGCATGGTGTGGTGGGAGTGCTGCAGGGACTGGGAAGACCATATCCTTGGGACATGCCAAGTATCGCTGATGTGTACCGTATTTGGGCGGTCGCTTTATCCCAGTAGGTGTGTATCCGGCAACTAGGTCTCCTGGCTGGAATGTCGAACTGGGAGGAGCCTTGAGCACTGTGCCGCAAAAGTCATATCCAAGGACTGCGGGATAGATGCCTAGGAGCGTGGCATGCTTGATATCGGCGGGATTGGTTCCAGAAAATTGCGTTTCGATAAGAATTTCATCATCAGCTGGAGTAGGGATTCCCTGGCATCGTTGGACTGAGAAGTTCACACCTTCATCGACGTACAGAGCTGTGTTCTCGTCTTCAGGAGGCATTGTAGGATAGCAGGGTCAAGCGCAGATTGACTAATGCAAGGGTAGATGTAGATAATACGGATGAGAATTCTCAGGGGGGTATTCATACTGTACAGTTGAGCGCCTCAGAACTTCCCCGTCGGAGTAAACCTCTGGTCACCACGTCATCCCGCCTTCACCACCCGACAAGAAATCTATAGGACTTGGAGCCTCTCTGCGTAATCGTGGAACTATACTGTTAAGTTAATTGATCATGACTTCCTTCCCGGCACCCCGCCATCGGCCCAGTACACAGGCGGCCCCGTTGCGGCAAACCCCATCGGCAAAGCCGAGAAATATCCCCACCGGCTCCATCGGCAGCGCCCGCTTGACGAGTAACGTTCGTAGACCGTGGACGTTTCGCCTCTACACCATTGTAGCTCCATTATCTACGGCCTCAAGAGCATGTAATGAATAAATACCACCCGCCTGATCATACCACCCAATCCAAAAAAATAGATACCCCACACTCCCATTACCCACGCGTACCCAATATGCCCATCATCAAACAATTAATCGCCCTGCGACGAAAAGCCGGCTTGACAAGAGAAGAATTCTTCGACTACCACTACCAAGTACATGGGGCCCTAAGTAAAGGCCCTAGTCCATCTGAGACGCCCTTGTATGTGACTCTCCCCCCATCCAGGCAAACATACACAAATGACACCTCACTCACATCCAAGTCAGGAAATATTTCCAAACCCACTTCCTCGACACCGCATACCACGTCGACCCTTCTCAAAAGATACCAAACGCCCACCCTGCATGGGCCTTCAATGACGGTCTCACAGAGCTCTATTTCTCCTCGGAGGAACACATGATCCAGAACTTTGCTTCCGAGTGGGTCAAGACGAAAGTAGGACCTGATGGGGCGAACTTTTCGGATTTTGGTGCTGTGAAGCCTATGTTTGTTAGGGAGGAAGTGGTCCCGTTGACAGCTATCGAGTCTGCGACTTCAACACGGGAGCGTTCTTTCGTTGGCATGTACTTTGTCGCGTTAAGTGATGTGCAGCGTTCCGGGGAGAAGAATGGAGAGATGATTGATAAGTTTACGTCTCTTCTCAAGCAGCATGCCTCCACTGAAGTGCTAGAGTTGGTGGTTAATGTTCCTACTGAGGTGGGCTTTGATCTTAGTGCTTACTTTGGGGGTGGGCGGTCGGTTCCTGCTTATTATGTATTTATGACTGTGCTACGGGGGAAGGATTCGGTTAGTGCTGTGCGGAAGGTGCAGGGGATCTTTGAGGATGAGTATGCGGGGGTATTGGATCTCCCGGCGACTTGGATTGGGTTCGGTGAACGTGCTGTTGTGTTGGATCAGAGTGAGGGGATTGAGGTAAGTTGTTGCGTTGCTCTAAGGGCTTGGTTGTGATGAAGATGGCTGATATCTGGCAGTTTGATCCGAAAAGACAGCCGTATAAGAAGGAATGAGGACTGCGCTATGATTAAGGTGTGTATCGTGCAGTATGCTGCTCTGAACTGCCATGAAGCTGTGCTTGCAGCGTGGGAGGAACTGTAGTGTTACTTAGTGTTCAGTATACTAGCTACCAACTTTTCCTTTCTTTCAATTGCCATTTTTCTTTCAGAGCAGAATGAATTGCTCGCGCAGCTGTTTACCGTGTTTCTGGAAACTGATTGTGCGTCGAGCTCCTTGACAGACGTGGTATCTGAAGAACTAAGTATAACTAATCAAAATGGACTGTGGAAATGGCTTGCGCAGGTTAAACTACCGTCCACGAATTGACAACCCGTCTAGTACTATGTACCCATTTATCAACATATGCCGACTCGAACTACATGAAGAAGAGTCTTATAGTTATATACATTGACGAGTAAATGACCAATCCAAATCAAGACACATATCACCGCCTCACCCGAGGAAGAACCAACTTCCCATGAGAAATAATGACGTTATCCCCAGCAAATCTCTCCTTTACTCGATCTCCGCCCTCATGTCGCATAGGTCCAATAGTACTGGCGGTATCCACAGACCCAATCTCAATGCTGAGCGACTGGCCCTGATCAAACAGAAATGCAGCAGGATACAAAGGAATAAGCACAGAGTAAAACTGGCCCGGAACGACCTCTGACTTGGCAACAGCTGGTTGTGAAATGACCTTTTCTTCATTGAAACCTTTGGCGACTTCATCACGATGAGAAAGACGGAAGTAACCTCTTGCAAAATTGTCCATCGGTTCGCCGTGGTTACCGTGTAGAATTATATTCTCGCCGTCTGCATTCATTGCGCGTAGATAGATGAAGATATCCATGTCTTTTGCTGTCGTGCTGACCTCAAGTTCTAGGTATGGTGAGCCTAGTAGCTCGAAGGACTCAGTGAACGGGTTTTTGAGGGAGAAGTGAAGGTTCTCGCTGTACCCTTTGTATGTAAAGGAGGTCTTTTGGCCGGTTGGTCTGTTAGGGGTGATCACTTTCTCTGGGGTGAAGTAAAAGGGTACATATTCCGCATCAGTTGGAGGAAAGGATGTTTCGTTTTCACGATAAAGGGTATTTGTGCCGTGGTGTTTGAAGAAGTCTAATGCGGGGAACATCAAGCATGCCGTTATCCTTGCCGAAGAGGAAGAAGTCCAAGAACTTTCTCTGCATTTCCAGATGCGCCGGCTCATAGAACGCACTTAAATGGTTCCCGGTATGCATTTCAAGCCACTTGTATTTTGACGAGAGGGCGTTGAAAGCCCGAACATTGCCAGGTAAATGGAGTTCGGCATCCGTCCAGTTTCCAGCAAGATAGAATGGGACCTCAATATCGGAAAGATTGCGAGCTCTTTTCAGAAGTTCCCAGACACCGTCAGTGGGATACTCAGTCTCTGCGAGCAACTTTGGAAAATCGACCCTGTTGGCTGAGAGCTCTGCTTCTCCTATGTGACCTTCTTTCTTCCCTCCTTGATAGGGAATTACTAGATTCCGGTACCAATGAGATTGGAAATTGTCACTGTAGATACCGCCTCGTCTTGACGCTTGGTACATATCGCATGCAGACTCGTATGATACGACGCAGCTTAGGTGGGGTGGCTTTTGCATCGCGGCCCAATATCCTACCATTCCGTAATAACTGATTCCGGAGTATGCCACCTTGCCGGATGACCATGGTTGAATGGCAGCCCATTCGACGATATCGTAGAGATCTGGAAGAGAATGAGGATTCGAATTAGCCAAATGAATCTGACGTAGTGAGTGGAGATCAATGCCTTGTCCCTCTGCATCTGCTTGGATCTGCACTGATCTTTCCAAGCCGAAAGGGTCAAGCTTCCCCTGACTCCCACCGATGCCGCGACTGTCAACACGAAGCAACGCATAACAGTACTCTTTACACTATAATATGGGCTATTAGTATGGAAACAGCTATATCTATGGATTGACTCGTACCCAGATAGATGGATCACATAATTCAAAGCAAGCATCAGGGCCCAACGGCTTGATATGCTTATACATTTCTGCGTAAATAGGCGATTGAGGTAGTCCAAATGTAGAGGCATGGTTGTCTTTCCCATAAGGACCCATGCTGCAAATCACAGGCACCTTCTCTCCATTTTTCGATGCGGTTAAAGGGAGAAACACATCGGCGCAAAGCTCAATCCCATCGCGCATGGGTATGTATATGTTTTTTATACGGGTATAGCCGTCCACGTCGGTCTCAATTGTCTCATAATTAGGTCTAGGGATGCTCATATTGAAAGTGATGGTATCAACAAGCTTTTCGGGGAAATCTGTATATGTTAAAGGCTGTAAGAAGTGTAGATGCTGATGTCAATGAATAACTTATAATCTTATTTTTTTCGGTAATATAGTAATATAGGAACCAAGGTGGCGATACCCCATGCAACCGGCGGAGCCGGTGGGGCCGATGGGGATGCGGCAAGCTCGACCCGTCCGACTAAGTATAGCCTTTGTGAAGTAGATTTGTGAATCATTAGGCGTCATTAATGAATAAAATATGTGGCAATCGATCAATTTCCTAGTCTAGCTGTAGGACAGGGCTAATTCCTGTTAAATTACTTTTATTCCGTCCGACCATACCCTATAGATGGTCCAAATAGCGGGCGCCAACAGAGTAGTACTGTTGAACGTTGGTGGATGTCCGAGCCGCCTTCGTGTCTGCATAACTGGGTCTAGCTGGGATGGAAACCAGCGGATAGAGGTATTGATTGTAAACCTCAAATTTGCCATTTACGTCATGTTCAATCGAGACTGAAGTAGAGGTGGTGTATTATCATTTAACATGATTTTTAACCCTTGAAAGACATTGGTTGCGGTTACGCTCACTCGTTGCACATCATACGGGTTCAAAACAGACACTCGATTGGCATGAAGACATACATATTGAATTCGTAACGAACGTTTCAAATAGGACAAGAAGCTGGCGCCATTAACCTCTTGCCTCGTAACAGATCGTAAACTCATGGAAAACATTTGCAACACAGACGTCAAACCTCGGGCATGCCCTAAATCACAACCAGACCCAATTCAATACCACTTATACCACCATGAGGCAACCCTCCTGGATACTGTAGTATACCATGGGGAGTTCCTCTGGCCCAGAGCATATATCAGATCTAGCTCAAGCTTTTCCGGGGCAAACGACGTGTCTGGTTCCACCGTAGTTGTTATCCCAGCAGTCCTTCCCATCACCACCTCCACTCTGGGCAGTGCACTGTGATCAAGGACAAATGGTCAGCAAAGTTAAGACAAAAATGAAGATGAAAAGTTCATGGTAGCTGTGGCAGGTAGGCAGAGCCCGACTGAATGAAACTGGGTGTTCATAACATACACTGCCCTCATCACAGGGACTATATACGGGCCACTATTGTCAGTGTGTGCTCTTCGTTCACGAGTATTCTTCCTGAAAGATGCAATTTTAGTGGTGAAACTCACTAGTTGTTAAAACCGATTTGGCAGCTGGTGCCATTGCAGCCCTAACAATGGGTATTAATATCTGGAGCTCGATATCTGAAGGAAGAGGGCAACAAGAAATCTCTGGATATTAAACTTACTCCGCAGTTAATATTGTCGCCAGATGGGCAGCTTTTCTCGTTGGCTGCGTTGTCTGCAGGAGCAGGAGCGGCGAGGGCAGCCAGAGGGCCAGCGGCAAGAGCAGCAAAGATAAGAGTAGCGAAGCGCATGTTGATGTATGTTTAGAAATGAGATATGTGAGTGAGTTAGGTGGTAAGAATTCTTTGGATGATTGAGGTGGTCGTCGTTAAGCCTTGGAGGCTTGAGTTGGAATTGAAGCTTGATGGCCGGAATGATGGCTGTATTTATAAATTTTGGGACTCTCCTTGCTACTGTGATAAGGCTGTCTTCCCAATTCAGAGATAAGTGTAGCATCCTGGTCAGTATGCCCCATGACTGCTTCTGATCGACACACATATGACTAGGCTGTGTCTTACTTCCCTCCAAGTTGTCAGGGTTAAGGCGTCCAATTTCACCCGCTAAAATCATTAGGTGCATGGATTGAACATCTCAACATTATCAGCTCTGGATAGTGCGGCTGTCTGTCAATGTACCTCGTACGTCTGGTATTGACGTTCTCCATGGTCATGAGCTAATGGGAAAGCAGAATCTAGCCATCCTCGACCACTGTAGTAGAGGCTCAGACACTGTCAGCATACAGCAAATGAGCTGGGCATATGAGGCTCATTCCGTTTTCTCATGCGAGTCAGTATACAAACTCAATTCATTTTACATCATCAAAATCTTCAAGAGGTCGGACGAGAACTGCACCCCGAAGTGTACCCCGGCATTCCTTCGTATTGACAGGTTATGAGCTAGGGACTGCTTGGATTTGAGACGTGGCTTCTATCGTGGTATTCGAGCCAGGTACCGCACCAAGAATGTATCCACCCCCTTCAGGCTAGCTATGCGCTTTACTGCTAATGATTGTGATTACATACAATTCACATCAAGTTCAAAGAGACCATCAAGGCGTGTAATTGTATCAGTCAAACAAAAGCTTTTCCTTGGAGGATAGCAATGAAGACACACTTTCACTACGATACAACTAGCCGTAAGAGATTCAAGCACTAAAGCACGCTTCTGATTATTTCCTAGAGATTATTAAAGATACCTTTGCGCTATACCAATTATCACTCAAGATCGGAATGCCGCGGGTATGCATGATATTTGTGCCCACCATGTGAGAATACCCCCTCGTACATGGAGCATATAACATACGACTTCTCATTCGTCAATAAGAAGGCTCAGCACTAGCTATGAGATTTGGAATTCGCTGGTGCAGAAGAGCGAAATTAGTTGATATCGTCTTGGTACCTCGGGCATCCGATACTAGATGTTAGTTTGTTCTAGTCCGCACATGTACTTGATTTGCCTATGCCCTGTCAGACCATCGATGCTGCCAGTTTGTAGCTTAAGGTAGACCTTTGATAATCACATAAAGTCGAGATTACCAAAGATAATCACCAGTAGCAAGAGAAGCAACGTCATCGTTATGCAGCAAACTTGAACAAGTGGTCGATCAACGCTGTCACCTACCCGATTTGCCCTTCAGCCTCGTGCAAGTCATAGCTCCGGAAGCAACAAATGAGCTCATTATGGCACAACTGCAAGGGTTCACCAAGGTATCTGATCGTCGTGCGGGGGGGTTTGAGGCTGAGGAAGGCACACAAGAGAGAATAACTCCAATTCCGCACAGCACTTTGAGCGCTGTATGGCCACTCGGCATTTGGTTACGACCCATAGTAATCGCGTCGATCATTGATTGCCTAACTAACTACACTTTCCATGCAGGGTTAACGGTCCGGACCCGGACGCCTCGGACGCCTCGGACGCCTCTCGGAGATCCGGAATGCAACCTGATTGCATCGTGTATGGGTACCTCCTTGTGTACTAATCAGTAGTGTTTACTAAAATGGATTCGTCACTAGTCGCACGGATAGCAAGTGACCCTATCATACGCCGTGTCCCTCTCTCCTGCGTCCAAAGGGTCATCGGGACTGCTTCTTTACGCTACCTCGACTATTCAAGGTTAGTGAAATTTTATTATTATCAGATTATGCTGCAGCTCAGGGTCCAGCTCGAACCTAAGCCTGCCAAGTTTATCATGACATCTGACCTTAGGATTGTCGCTGTAGTGCGACCTTGCAGCCATCGGACAGACATTCGCGACAAGAACCTACCTTCCTAAGAATGGATCTTTCACTTGGCTCGGCACTTCCTACTCCTACCAATGAAGTTACTCAATACAACTTACGAGTTTAACTGAGAATTCAGCCTCACTCCCAATGTGCCAAGACTGCTGTTCGAGCGGGGTAATGGCATCTGTGTTGGACCTAAGAATGGCAGCTACACGAAGTCACAGCCACCAAAATGACAAATACAATTCTATACGGTCGCATTAATGAGATACTCATTGTGGAAGTGATTCCGACCATAAGAAGGAATTGGGCGGGGGTGGGCTCTTAAAAAGGTCACTGAGGCGAGCTGTACGGTGGACGATAAGCTATCCTCATGCTACAAGAAGAATATGCATTGAAACTATCACAATAAGTGGTAATTGGTTAAAAAGAGACAGGCTTTTCCTTGATCATAGAACCTGATGGACCCATGATTGAGAAGACAACCTGGGCCATGCATCGCACGACACTGGGTCTTGTAGTAAGGCAAATAGGCATCGATAAGAAATTCATATGCTCATATGTCGACCGAGGATACAACCCATCACCAGGCATAAAATGGGTCGCTCACCCCCCTCTTTAATTGTTGGAGGGCGATCAATGCACCAAGTTACATAAGAAACCCAACTGATCGACAAGGTCGGGTTAGCTTCCCAGTTCGGACGATATAACAAATCTCTGCTGCAGATATTGGACGCATAAGTCTCTCATCCGGCTCTTGCAAAATAAGTATTCTATCCTATCAGAAGATGGATAACGCGGCCTGGGAGGCGGCATAATACGACGAGAGTCGGACGGAAGTTTCTGTCCGCTATAGACACGAACACATATGAGGGGAAGACAGTGGCGATTTCTGTGCTGTTCCCGAATAAAGTACACCGTGATTTCTCATCTACCACATTCATTCCCATGACGAAGCACATATAGTAGATACTACTACACAGTTTCGCTTGTAGGACCCAATCGGAGGCGGAGGCGGCTCAAAGTGCCTTGGTAGCGGGTCTCCCACTCCTCCCCAAGCAAATCAGACGGCCAGCCATTCTGCTCCTGGAAGACTTTCTGACTCTAGAGCGTGGAGCGAGTTCTGAACCTAGTGTATCACTTGAATATGCAACTTGGAGATCAAAGCGTGAGATAATGAAAAGAAAGTGATGTAATTTCCTTCATTGCGCTTATTGCAGGTCCATTCTATAGGGTGGTAGACGGACTAAACATATATCAAAGTGAATTCCTAGAGAATAATCACTGCGATGGACTGATACGGTGGGAAAAAGGTCAATCAGCAGCCCTGGGCTTTTTAATCCTTGCAATCAATAGTACGTAGCAGATTCACCGTAGATACTTGTATTGAATCTCGCGGTCTATATAAAGCACCCTTCTTCCTCATCGCTCCTCTTTCTCTTTCTATCCTCTCCATCTACCTTGGCCTTCGTGCTCATATGAGCCTCAAGAAAAGTAGTAGCAGTCATCATCCCAGATAGCCTAATATAGTAATGATTCATTGATGAAGACTTACATGTTATTTATATCATCATTTCT